CTTGCCAGGGAAACATTTATTCCCTGAGCCATCTCCCCGGCCCCTAAGTAGGTGCTTTAGACCACTGAGCCATTTCACCAGCCCCAGGTTTGAGAATTTGAGGCCAGCCTGGCCTATATAATGAGTTTGAAGTCTGCATGGACTATACAGTGAAATGCTCTGGAGAGAGGAAAAAAAAAAAGCAGTGAGTAGTGTGGCAGAGTGTATTTGGTCAAGGGCCAAAGGTGAATTTTCTTATCTATAAGAGAGTTGTGTTGAGTGCACTGTAAGAACCTTAGTTTGGCATGAAGGAGGCAAACAGCATGAACAGCTCCATGCGTGGGCAGGGTTCTAGATGCAGGTCTTGTGCCACTAAAATGCCACTGTCTTCTGCGTAGTAGTTAGAAGAATGTGCTGACAAGGCAAGTGTGCAGCAGGTGTCACTTTACATGTTGTTTTGTTTTGTTTTCTAAGAATCAAACCCAGGACCTTGTGCTTGCCAAGTAGGCACCGTGCTGGTAAGCTGTAACCCCTGCCCTCACATAGATGTTTGACCAAAAGAAACAGGAAAATATTTTTTAAATACTTCTTGAAGGAGCCCAAGGAGATGGCTCAGTGGAATAAGCACTTCCCTGGCAAGTGCAAGGGCCTGAGTTCAATCCCCGGTTCCACAAAAAATAAAAAGGAAAAAAGAAAATCTACCATTCTACCCTTTTACATAATGAGTATGGTGAATCTTAGATTCGTGAATTTGGGACACCTATGCTGCTTTCTCTTCTCCTTCTCCTCCTTCTCCTCCTTTTTTTTTTTGGATACAGGGTCTCACTGTGTAGTGCAAGCTGGCCAGGAGATCACTATGTAGCCCAGCTGTCTATGTAATGAGTTCAAGGCAGTCCTGGAGTATATAGTCTCAAAATCAATACAGACACAGACATACACATTCTTAGGTTGATCTAAGTAGACCAAATCCTGAGGTAAGATGGGTAAAAGCATGGAGAGGAGCCACTCATGCCTTGTGGATGGTTTATTCTGAGGGCATTAGAAATAGATTGGCAATACTGTATTCATCCTTAGCTCATTTTCTTCCCATACTTTCTTGATTCCTCTGAAGCAGAGGGTTTGAACTATGAAAGGGGGATATATGGTGTTCTATCGATAAAAATGAGAGGGAGAGACTATTTCTTTTTCAGTCTTTTACTGGAACCTTAATCCTCAGGCTGGATACAGTATCACTAAAGCATACTTTATTTATTTTTTAGCGAAGGGTCTACAAGATGTTCAGGGTCTCACTACTAGATGGATTCCTAGTGATCCACCTGTTTACACCCTCCAAGAGCTGGAATTACAAGCGGGCACCACCACACCAGTCTCAATTGCCATCTCAGTGCTGGGGATGGGGCCGGCATGGCAGGCTGGGGATTCCCTGGGCCCTGGGCCTGCTTGCAGGAGCTTTAATCCACTGTGCTATTTGGCCGGCCCTAAACCATACTTTTTAAAATACCTTTCCCACACATGGTGGCACATTTTCGTAATCCCAGTACTCTGGAGGCTGAGTCAGGCGGATTGATGTGAGTTCGAGGCCAGCCTGGGCTCATAGTGAGTTCAAGGTGAGCCTAAACTACATAGCAAGACCCTGTTTCAGAAAAGAAAAGAAAAAGAAAAAAACCCAAAACAAGCACACAACCTTCCGTAGTCTTATTTGGAAAGCCTTGTTTTCTGACTGGAAAGGGTTTTTGGAGGCATTTTCTGTACACGTTAGTTGCAGCTCAAAGAAAAGGAGATGGCGTAAATGGAGAGATGTACGGAAGAGAGAAGGGATAGAGAAGGTTTAGTGGAAGCTGTTTGGTTACCCAAGTTGGCATTAAAAGCCAGAGAGTGTTGTCACCCTTGTGGGTTCCAAAATCAAGTTTGTTTATCAAGAACTGGATGTTAAAAAAAAAAAAAGAAAAGAACTGGATGTTTTTCAGTGTCTCAGAAACACTAATGTCTAGAAAACTTAAAATGCCAATTTTGAAAACTATATTGAAACACAAAATTACTAGTGAAATCAGATATTACTGTCTGGGCATTATGTCCTTTTGGATTCTCATGTGTGAGAAATCATAGATTAGAATACTGACATGTAGTGGAAAATGTCCACTTTGTAGAATGGGCAGATTCTTGTGCTTGTTGATTAGGTCCTCTCCCATATAGAAGCAAAGCTAGGAAAGCATTTCTTAGAAAATACGATTTTAGAGTCAGGTGGCTGGAGTTTAAGGACTAGCTTCCTCCAGCGAGTCTCATACTGCCTTCTCGTCTGTGGATAGAACTCTGTTGACACACTAGCACTGCTGTGTCCCCCCACATTGTCCTTTTTACACTTCTCGCCAATGAATGTTGTAATCTTCATTTCCTTTTTTTCTGGTATGATTTTTCTCAAACTGCTGATTGGGCAATTTTTTCAGAATAGATCTTTTAGTTATAATCTTAATCTACTTCAGGTGTCTTTCATTGGGCTGGGGAGATAGCTCAGTAAAATAAGCACCTGCCTGGCAAGTACAAGGTCCTGAGTTCAATCCCCAGTAGTACAAAAAAATAGTGTCTTTCATTGGATTTGGGGCAATTAATGTTAGTATTTTGAGTTTCTTCTATACATGGTGACTCAGAGCTCTTACATCTCAGCTTTTCTTGTTTCCATTTTAGAAGGAGCCTTAGTTTCATTGTTGAAGTAATAGTGTGTTGCCTTGTGTACTCTCCAAACATGGCATCCATCAGAAAATGCAGTGGCTCCCAAAGTCAGCAGGTACAGAGTGAACCAGGCCATTGTCAGGAGGAAAGTTAAGTCTGTTCCCCAGTGACATGAGAGCTGCAGTCATTTTCTCTGATAAATAATTTGTGTGCTTTTCAAGGGGGTCGTGTTACAACAAGCAGGAGTGCAGAGCAGGAGAGCTTTGGTTACAGTGAGAGGAAGGCTGCCATAGGCAGACTGACTTCCTCTGTCTCAGCCTGACCTACTCTGCGTCCAGGCGACAGAGGCAGAGGTGCAAATGAGGGGCACCAACTGATGCCCTGACAGCAGTGAATCAGAGGCAGTTCCTTTCCTATCCTGTTGGAAAGAATCCCAGGAAGCTCGTAGCAGCCTTGCTGTATATTCCAGATTTGGTCCTTGGGGACCTTCATGTAGTGAAACTTGAGGGTTGTTGATGCATTGAGTTATTCTCACTCACTGGGACCTGGAGGTGACTATGGAAGAAGCTACAAGGAGTGGGGAACATTACGTGGTTCCTGGGGATGGGAAGAGATACTTATCTTCACTAATCCTTTTTCTTTCTTCTTTCCATGTCCTTGCCTTGGAGCAGTTATTACAGTAAGTATCATGGTGGTGGGGAGTGGAATTGTAGGTAATGTATAAAAAAAGGGGATGGGGGGCCGGAGAGATGGCTCAGTAGAATAAGCACTTGCCTGGCAAGTGCAAGAGCCTGAGTTCAATCCCTGGTTCCGCAAAAAAAAAAAAAATCCCCAGTTCTGCCAAAAAAAGAAATAAATAAAAAGGGGGAAATAAAAATATACCTATACAAGTGGAGGTCATGGCTAATTTCTTTCCCTTGGGTGATATTTGGAGTAGGCAAAGCTGAATCTCCTTAATCCTAATGAAGAATTTAATTGGACTCGTAGCATCCTGCTTTAAGCTGAAGTTGGCTTGTAACTGTCAGTGTCAGGTGTATCCTGGTTCTAGGTCCTGCATGGACAGAAAAACAAGATTCCTTGCTCCCCCTAAGTCATGCCTACTCAGGGTTATATAAATTTCAGTTCAGCTGACCTGATTGTGACATCTCTTTCCTGTTTGGGCATCTGTTGACCCCAGTGAGCACTACCTCTTGGCAAAATTGTAAAGTCAACAAAATTTCTGTTCTGTGACCACCCCCATTTTTGTTGCCCTTCCTCGCCATCCTTGAGGGCGCCCATCCAAGTGCCCAGTCCTTTCCACCCTTCTAGGAAATGAATTCCTTTTGAGGTGTTAATGGATTGATTGCCTGCTTTGAATAGTTTTGTTTGTTTCCTTGTTTTTTTTTTGTTTTTTTTTTTTTTGAAACTGAGGATTGAACTCAGGCCCTTGTGCTTCTGCTTGCCAGGCAAGCGCTTATTCCACTGAGCTATCTCCCTGGCCCCATGTTTCCTTGTTTTTTAAAAGCATGTAGGGAAGGAGCCATCATGAAGGGTTGCCCCTGCAAAAAAACTAGTTGGAGAAAGGAACCATGGTGAATATATATATTTTTGGGGGGGGTGGGTTGGGAAGTAGTCTTCTGTGCTCTTGCCACAAATTTAGTTGACCATTAGCATTTTTTTGTGGAATCAGGGATTCAACTCAGGCCCTTGTGCTTGCCAGGCAAGCACTTACTCTACTGAGCCATCTCCCTGGCCCCCATTAGCACCTTTGTATAACATAATATGGAAGGCTGGTTAAATACATGAATTCTAAAGTCACATAAACTTGTTTTTAGGCCTAGTTCTTTGATGATCTCTGTGGCCTTGGACAAGTCACTTAAACTTTTACCATGTAGCCTTTTTGAACTTCATTTTCCTCATTTGTAAAGTGAGGTTGACTCTGTACATCTGCTAGAGTGACATGAGGGTTCACCTGGGGTAATCCATGCTTAGTGTATTGTGGGCTTGCTGTCATAGTAGCTGTTATTACCAGGCAGTGACTTGAGTCTCCTGACTGCTCCTGATCTAGTAATGGGAGGTGGCTAATTTTTGTCTGTGAGCCTGGTGACTGTATGGTGTTTTCTTACCTCTTCCAGAATGAGTACATGAAAGAAGATTTTCTGATTAAAATTGAGACCTGGCACAAACCGGATCTTGGCACCCAGGAAAATGTAAGGAATATGGCCCAAGGGCCCCAGTGGGGATTCCAAGCCCCAGAGCAGGTTCTTGTGGTTCTGCCTTTTGCTTCTCCAACCTTGCCAGGCAGTTTTCCTCTCTGTGGTGCTCTTTTTCTGTGTCTAGAAAGGCAGTGGCTTCTCCTTAGATCTCTCCTACCAGGGTGGAATTGCCCTTCTTTGATTCGAAAAATAATCATTTTCAGGATTCTGTGCCAGGTCTTCCTATAGTGCTCAGGTAGGTCTAAAATTCAGTTCCTGACAAAGGGGCTGATTTTTTTAAGCATCAAATTTATTTCTAGAGCACAATTTACAATTCTCAAAATTTGAAATAATGCCTTTTTTCCCCCTTAGTAATTCATGCCTATGAACTCACTAGACAACTTTCTCACATACATGAAATAGTATATATGAGATTAAAAACAACATAGGCTGGGTGTGATGATACAGGCCTATAATTGTAGCACTCAGGGAGACTGAGGCAGGAGGATCACTGAGTTCAAAGCTAGTCTGGGCTACATAGTGAGTTTATAAGGTCAGCCTAAACCTCACAGGAGATTTTGTCTCGAATGAATGAATGAATGAATGAATGAATGAATATGGCACAAGAGCCTATTAGTAGGACACCATTAACTAGATTATGCAATCAAATAATGGTATACCATGTAGTCATTAAAAAGAGTCAGCAGGAACAATCCTTAACATGTATTGTTTTCTGGGCATGGTGCTGCACATCTGTAATCCCACTGCTTCCATCTGAGGTAGGAGACCGCTAGATTGAGTCCCCTGTGGGTAAGTTAGTGGGACCTTGTTTCAAAATAAAAAGATAAGGGCTGAGATTTGTAGCACAGTGCAAACAAAGGCTATTAATGGGTTTAATCCATGATACTCCCGCCTGCCCAATGTATTGTTCAATGAAAAAGTAAGATATAAAATGGTGCATATATGTGCTAGTTTCATATTAAAAGGAAATCTGTGTACATGAGCTCTATGTATGGCAGTATGTATCTCTGGAGTTGGGCTGGGAGTCAAGCAGAAGTTATTTTATCATTTCATCTTGAATTTGTGTCATAATTTTATATGTGCATTTACAGTCTGATTAAAGTAAGCATTATGTAACAAAGCAGGCAACATCTCCAAGAGCATTTAGTCTTTACCAAGGTACCTGTGGAAATAATGTGCAGCATTTATTCTCAAATTTGTGTCTAGCCAATGTTCCTTTGTATAATTTTGTACAAATTCAGGATCTCTTATCCCTGGAGACCAGAAGTGGTTTACGTTTCAGATTTTGTGATATTTGCTTATACATAATGGTATGCCTTGGGGATGGGTCCCAAGTATAGTATAAACAACTAAATTAATTTACCTTGCATATACACCTCACACATGCAGCCTGAAGGTATCCCTCTTCCTCCAGGTGCATAAGTTGGAGCCTGAGACATGGAAACACGTGGAAGCCATATATATAGACATTGCAGATCGAAGCCAAGTACTTAGCAAGGTAGGAGCTACTCAAAGAAAGATACAGGGTGCAGAGATGACGATGTCAGAGGAGAAACCAGGGAACCAAGACCCAATAGGTTCAAAAGAAAGTTCTCTCTGGTGTGTATTGTATCTTGTGCTTTTATTTTATTTTTTGCTTTTTTGAGGCAGGGTCTCACTGCGCAGTTCATGCTGTTATTGAACTTATTACCCACTGTGTAGTCCAGACTGACCCTGAACTTCAGGTGATCCTCCTGCCCCAGCCTCCTGAGTGCTGGGATTATAGACATGCCCCATCATATGGCTGGCTTGCTTGTTGTAGTTTTAAATTTAGTGTTCAGAGCTTGCTTTTCTTTCCTTTTTTTTTTTTGCGGAACCAGGGATTGAACTCAGGACTTTGCTTTTGCCAGGGAATCGCTTATTCTACTGAGCTATCTCCCTGGCCCCTAGAGCTCCCTTTCTGAAGTTGGGAATACTAAGTTGGGAAACTAGTGGCTCGATTTTTTTTTTTTTTGGAGGCAGGGTCTCATGTGCAGATCAGGCTGTCCTTCAACTTAGTTTGTATGCCAGGCTGACCTCAAACTTGTAGCAGTGCTCCTGCCTTAGCCTGTGAGTGCTGATATTTCAGGTGTGCAACAGCATGCCTGGCTTTAGTAGCTCAAGTTGATCTTTTTTTTGTATTCTGAAAGATATTCCTGATCAAATTAAGTGCTATGGGTAGGGTGTTTTACCTTGTTGAAGTGAAGTTTACCCTGAAAAATAAAAGCAGTATTTTCAAATTTAGTTTTCCAGTCTAGTAATTTAAAATTAAATTACTGGGGCCAAGGAGATAATTCAGTGGTCTGAGCACCTGCCTGGCAAGAATGAAGACCAAGAAGTTTAATTCCCAGTACTGCATGCCATGCTGGCCCCGCACCAAGCTGGCCACCAAAAACAGGAGTGATGATTGACAGTGTAATCCCTGCACTGGAAAGGCTGAGATAGGATCGCTACAAGTCCAAGCTGGGACTCATAGTGAGACCCTGTACCAAATAAATAAATAATTGATTAATTGAATCTTTAAAATAAAACTACTGCCTGCCTTGAAATATTCTGTTAGATTTTCTGAGTTCCCAGTGAGGGTTACAAAAAAGACAAGTATGCTGCCTTTGGAAGTTGGTAGTGACTTTTCAAACTAATAAACACTGGAGCAGATGCCAGGAAAAGGGGTCCACTACTAGCTAGCCAGTGGAACTGCTGGTACCCATGACTGTCTAGCTTGCTCAGTGTTATGTTCCCAGGAGGTATCTGTTCAAGGAATGAACAAGTTAGATTCCCAGGCTGCCCGAGCCATTCTTCACCTGAGGCCCTGCTGCACAGCTAAGCAGGCCTCTGCAGAGAAAGTCTTCTGATGGACCCCCAGGCCCCATGACAGCGCCCACCCAGGGAGGATCACCATGAGCAAGGCCAGCATGAAGCGCATAACAAGACTATTGTTCTCAAAAAACAAAAAAATTATTTAAATTTTAAAAATAGACTGGATAAAAATCAGTGAAGTGAGACTTCCAGTGTTGCACAGAAGAGAGGCTCTAGATACTGGACTTTTCCAATAGTAATTTCATTAAAATATTCACAGGGAATACTTGGAACAGTAAAGATTTGGCATAGCCTCTGTGCAAGAATGACATGCAAATTTATGAAGCACTCCATATTTTTTGTTTGATCAGTATTTCCATGATTACATCTTGTAATATGAGCATTTACTTGAAAATAAAAATATGCAGTGTATCAACCATTGTTACTGACCTACAATCTTTTTTTTTTTAAATTTTATTTTGTCCTGCAATCTTGTTTTGAAATTTTATGCCATTTTTATTTTCCTTAAAATAAATTTAGAGGAGCCAGGGAGATGGAATAAGCGCTTCCCTGGCAAGTGCAAGGGCCTGAGTTCAATCCTCGGTTCCACAAAAAAAAAAAAAAAGAAAAAAAGAAAAGAAAAAGAAAAAGGAGCCAGGGAGATAGCTCAGTAGAATAAGCGCTTCCCTGGCAAGTGCAAGAATATGAGTTCATGGGCTGGTGAGATGGCTCAGTGGCTAAAGCACCCACTTAGAACAAGCTAAGCTAAGCAAAGCACAGGGACCGCGGTTCAATCCCCAGCACCACATGCCAGCCAGCCCCGCCCCCTGTTGGGCTGAGCTGGCCACACACAGACATTAAATAAATAAATAAATAAATAAATAAAAGAATCTGAGTTCAATCCCTGGTTCCAGAAAAAAAAAAGAAAGAAAACAAATTTAGAAAACATTCAGAGGGAAATTAGATTTCAAGAAAGATGGCTATTCAGTGCTCTGGTTATGGTTTTTACTCAGGATCTTACCTTGCTAGGCAGGTGCTTATGCCACTGAGCTATCATCCCAGGCCCTAGGGATGGTTTAAAATCACCTGCTGAGTGCTAGGCAGAGTGTCTAGAATCTGTAATCCCAGCACTCTAGGAGGCTGAGGCAGGAGGATCATGACTTTGAGGATCATCAGTCTAGGCAATTTAAGGAAACCATTTCTCAAAAGGGGGATGTGTCTCAGTACAGAAGCTCTGAGTTCAGTCCCCAGTACTTTTAAAAATAAGGAATCCCCTGCAGAAGTTTGGTTTGTTTTTAATCCATGCTGCCCTTATCTGTAGGAATGTAGGGTGACCAGTGAACTATAAAGTTCTTCCCTGGCAATTTGGGTGCTCACCAGGTTGAAAATCATTATTTTACACAGTGTGAATATAAGTGCCTCCTCAGGCAGTCTGGTGATAGCTTCATGCTAGTAAAACTGAAAACAAACACTGGCAGAAAAAAGTCACAGAACGCTCTGCTCAGGGAAATGTAAACAGTTCTACCTCATGTTTATAACATCTCCGTATCTTATGTGAGTGCCAGCAGCATCAAGAACTGGTTATAAAATGTATTCTGCGTAAAAATCTGACCTCCTTTTGTCCTCTTGTGCTCCTCTGTCCCCTGTCTGTCTTCCAACCGGAATCCCATAACCTCCCAGGATTACAAGGCAGAGGAAGACCCAGCAAAATTTAAATCTGTCAAAACAGGCCGAGGACCCTTAGGCCCAAATTGGAAGGTGCAGTTCACACTCTTAATTGTGGGGGTAGGGTGTGGTGGGACTCCCGTTGGAGTGGGGAATGGCTGGAGTTGGGCTGAGGGACAGCCTGAGATCTTTTCTGCTTAGTTACTGGCCTCTCTGTTTCAAATGCAGCAAGAACTTGTAAATCAAAAAGATTGCCCGTATATGTGTGCATACAAACTGGTTACTGTCAAATTCAAGTGGTGGGGCCTGCAGAACAAAGTGGAGAACTTTATACACAAGGTCGGTGAGCTATGTGAGGATCACATGTGTGCATGCGTGTGTGTGTGTGTGTGTGTGTGTGTGTGTGTGTATGCGCGCGCACATGTTGGTTAAGGGGCATTTAGCCTAATTTGGGGGAGATGATGCAACCTGTGTGACCTGTAACAAAAGTGGTTTTGTGTCCCTTGTATGTAACTGTCCTGATAGTTCATTACTGTCCATACAGTGCACTGCATGTGACAGGAAAACATGAATGGACTTTCTGTGACTGAACTACAAATAAAAGTCAGTCTCTTAAATCCAGAAGGCATGAGGCACCATAAGCCAAATTCTCCAGTGTTGTGAATTACTCACTGGGTAGACCTCAAGAATTTCATGGGGGCTGGGAAATGGCTCAGTGAAATAAGCGCTTCCCTAGCAAGTGCAAGGGCCTGAGTTCAATCCCCGTTTCCGCCAAAAAAAAAAAAAAAAAAGAATTTCATGACCTTTTAATTTGCAGATGTGTTAGAGACACTTTTGGGCCACATTTAGTAGCAGCTGGCCAGTTAGAGCCTGGTGTTAGGACCAAAGGCAAGGGGGAAGACTAGAAGTTGCTTGGCTAGAAGTTGACAGGCTGTCTTGGGGGCAAAAGACCTAGCTGTGAAGTAAGACATTGCTGTGTGAGGCTTAAAGCCTCACCTTTTTTACACATGAATATGCATCACTGCTTTTGGCTAGTACAGGTAAGCAAGCCAGGCATCAATTCTCCCTGCTCCCTCTGTCCTACACAGTGTGGATTAGCATACACAGAGATCGTGGGGAAGAGAACATCACAGTGCCCTTCACCTGGGTTCTAATGAGGTCCCCTTCTTTCTATAGCAAGAGAGGCGTCTGTTTACAAATTTCCACAGGCAGCTGTTCTGTTGGCTCGATAAGTGGGTTGACCTGACTATGGATGACATTCGAAGGATGGAAGAAGAGACAAAGAGACAGCTGGATGAGGTGAGCCAGATGCTGAAGACACTGTGGTTCTCAGTGAGATAAATGGGTGGCAGTTAAGGAGACTTTCCTGAGGGGAACTTGTCACAGTCTGCCTTGGGTAGAGTCCATTGCCAGGAATTAATGGGTACTAGAAGGAAGAAAACAGCCTGTACTTCAGAATGTGCAGTCTAGTTGGGGCCTTGATACTCAGAGACAGATAACAGTACTGTGTGCTGAATGCCAAGTGAATAATGCCACTGCAGTTGTGCTACCCTATGTCAGGTGTGGGGGTTGCTGGGCTACAGGTGTAGAGGTGACTCTGTGAGGAGGCATTCTGGGCTGATCCGTGAACCCCACATGTGTTAACCACTGAGGACCACAGTGCCACATGCATAGCTCATGGTTCCGACAGCTGTTTTGAGTTTGGAACTGTTGATTTTTATTATTATTAATTTTGGCCTTGGCACAGATCCCAGGAGAACTTTCTGCTTCCTCCATGGGAGCCTGAAGGCCCAGCTCATCCATCTCATTTGGGAAGGCTTACCTCAGTGGTCCATTCAGAGAAGATGGCTGGTGAATGACAGGCATTCCTTATGTGCCAGGCCTTGTTTAAGGAGTTGTTCCATCCTGCAGCCATCACAATGCCTATGAGGCTCACAGATCAGCGCTGTCTGCCTCAGAGCTGTGGTTCACCTCTATTCCATTCTGGTGCCATTTGAAGCTCTGTTGATCTTGAGACTAAAAACAAGGCAGAAAGCACTGTTTTTTGTTTTGTTTTGTTTTGTTTTTAATTTTTTTCAAAGTTTTATTGATAAACAGATAGCAATGAGACAGTTTCAAATCAAATTGGAAGTACAGTTTCAACAAATAATACACTGCATAGCACTGTTTCTTAAGAAATGCCATCCATAGGGCTGGGAAGATAGCTCACTAGAATAAGTGCTTGCCTGGCAAGTGCAAGGGCCTGAGTTCAATCCCCAGTTCCACGAGAAAAAAAAGAAATGCCACCCACTTCTTCTTCCCTTATGCCCTAGCTGGGGGCTGGCACGGAGCCTTGGGGTCCAGCAAAGGTCTTGTTTTATAGCAGCTCTGCTCAGCTCTGCAGCAGGGCTATAGGTGAAGAATAGGCCTAGGCATCCTGGTGCATGTTATGTTTACCTCACACTGGACTATGATGTAAAGAACTTTCATCATATCAGTAAGAGGGATTCATTGTGGGGAGCCTAAGTCTTTTGAGAGTGCTGCTCAATGTACCTCTAGAGTCTCTTGCTCTGGGGGATACTCAGCCCAGCCAAGGAAGGGCTCTGGTAGGCTCACAGGCCATCACCTAGTTTTACTGCAGTCCCTTCCTATTTTGTACTTACCTACTTTGCCCCTAGCTGAACCTCAAGTCCCAAGTCCAGACTGCCTTCAGTGCTTCCAGAGAAGGAACTTCCTGGCTTTTGCTGTGACAGAAGGGTGGTGAATGGTTGATTTGGAGAGTAGGGCAGGCCAGCCTGTTCTGTATTCTGACTTTAAAGCACAGTTCCTGTTCTAATCCCATGGGAACTCCTGCCAGAGGAGGGGCCTTCACCCCATCTCCTGAGACTTAAGAGCACCTGAACACAAGTTGGTCTGCTCCTGCTTAAATCCTGTCCTCATGGGCTCTAAAGTCTCAGCCTCTGCTGTTCTGTGAATGCATTACCTACCATTCATGCCTTTTTCCATCTTCTACAATGTTACCATCTCTTTTTAAAATTTAGTTATTAGTACAGGTTGTGATGCGCAGCTGCTTTTCCATTGCTGTGTTAGATCATACATCTTAACGAATTCACACCTCCCCCTTGTTGCCATCTCTTATCTACTATTTGCCTATGGGCTTTTTTTTTTTTTTTTTTAAAGTACTGAGGACTGGGGACTGGCGAGATGGCTCAGTGGTCTAAAGCA